ACTAATAAGCTATAAAGGCTAATCTACTCTATAGCAGGAAAGCAGCTATAAGAGTTATTTTTAGCCTCTAAGGTTATTTTAAGCTACTATCTATGCCTAATCTAGCAGCTCTACTATAGGATTTACCTATAAATAACTCTTCTTCCCCCCAACTAGATAGAGAGGAAATTAAGCCTCTACAACTACACTCTTTAATACATACTATTATATACAATTTTATACTATATCTAAAGTTACTTCTATTATACCTTAAGAATCTCTATTATCTTATGCTTAGTAATTAACTAGATTATATAAGCTCTATCTATTATCTCTATTATATTATAAAGAAGTCCCTTAATTAGCCGACAAGAAATACCTAAAAGCCTTTAAGCTAAAAGCTAGTATTATAATATTTAAAGGCTAATAGTATTTTTATTTTATTTATTAAGAAGCTTATTAACTTAAGATAAAATATCTCTATAAAATATACTATACTAAAGAGATTATTAAATAGTCTCTATAAGGCTTTTAAGCTGTCTATATAGTCTTAGTATATTAAAGTAGAAAATAATTTAGAATTAATTTAGAATTAATTTTAAAATAATTTAGAAATAATTTAGAAATAATTTAGAAATAATATAGAACTAGTTTTAATATAAATCTAGAATAATTATAGTATAAAGTTTAATTTATATATTAAAGTAGAAGGAATTTTTTCTATATAACTCTATACTTTTAAAAAATCTAAAAATTAGAAAATTAGAAAATTGTAGTAGCAGTATTTGCAGATGCAAGCTAATGTGCGACCGTACGTAACCCTGACCCGGGGTCAGTGCGGACAAACGCTGGTCCGAAAAATTTTACCACATTGCCCCCTCCATCTATCGATAAGCTGAGGCGGGGCTGCAGAAGTCGCGACTTGGGACTCCGGAATCGAAACTTGCGACCCGGGCTCAATGTTCACGACGCCTGTTCGCATTTAGGCGTTTTGCACACGTTTATGTGTCGCTCACGGCAGTACATTCGTCAAAATGCCGCATGAGATTCTCGTTGGTGGCTCGTGCTACACGGCTACCAGTGCACAGGAGCTGAGAGCTCGTGCCAACAAGACCAGCCGGCCCGAGATCAAACAGATCCGCGGTCAGTGGCTGTACTTTGTCGACCTGAAGTCGTCCAACAAGACTGTTCTGGACAGCGTCAAGGCGCTCCTTGAGGATGTCGACTCCGAACCTCTCCTTGCTTCTGAGAGCGCCAGCAACTCAACCACAGTCTACGTCACCCCCCGATACCTCTCGCCATGGAGCTCCCAAGCTACCAGCATTGCCCATGTCTGCGGCCTGAAGGATCAGGTAAACCGGATCGAAAGGGGTCGACTCGTTGTCATCGATTTCCAAGGGCCCCTTCATTCTGGACAAGACGCCACTTTTCGAGATGTCCTGTACGATCGTATGACCGAGACGTTTGCTTTCGAGAAGCCTGAACTTGACGTCATGTTTGCTGCTGGCATTCCTGCGCCACTGGTTGTCGTGGACATCTTTGCCGACCCCAAAGATCCTCTTACCGTCCTTCGAGAATACAACAAGGAAAAGGGACTAAGTCTTGATGAATCCGAGATGGAGTACCTCGTCGACGTATTCAAGAAGCTCGGCCGCTCGCCTCACGATGTTGAGCTTTTCATGTTTGCCCAAGTCAACTCGGAACATTGCCGGCACAAGGTATTCAACGCCAGCTGGACAATTGACGGTGTCAGGAAGGATAAGAGCTTGTTTGAAATGATTCGAAACACTCACAAGAGGACTCCTGATTACACCGTGTCAGCCTACAGCGACAATGCCGCTGTTCTTCAGGGGGAATCCGCACATTTTTGGGCGCCCGAATACTCGACCGGAACCTGGACATTAACCCCAGAAGTTGCCCATATTTTGGCCAAAGTTGAGACTCACAATCACCCGACTGCCATCTCGCCTTTCCCGGGTGCCGCCACTGGTTCTGGTGGTGAGATTCGCGACGAGGCTGCTGTCGGACGCGGTTCCGTGACAAAAGGCGGTCTTGCCGGGTACTGGGTCTCTGATCTGCTGATTCCTGATCATCAAGCTCCTTGGGAAGTTGATATTGGCCGTCCTACTCATTATGCCAGCAGCTTAGACATCATGCTTGAAGCCCCTATTGGCAGTGCTCGCTTCAATAACGAATTTGGCCGCCCATGTCTCACGGGCTGCTTCCGAACGCTTCTCACCCCCGAAACCCCCAGCGATGGTGCCCAAGCCGAGGTTTCTGCATGGCGCGGATACCACAAGCCTATTATGCTGGCCGGTGGTGTGGGCACAGTTCGCCCTTCCAACGCGCTGAAAGAGGAGCGCTTTGTCCGCGAGGGTGCCCATGTCATTGTTCTCGGTGGTCCCGCCATGTTGATTGGTCTCGGAGGCGGTGCTGCTTCTAGTAATGCGTCTGGCGAGGGCAATGCCGACTTGGACTTTGATAGCGTCCAGCGTGGAAACCCGGAGGTTGGTTCATTCTGAAGTTGTGCGCGAATGACTTTATTTTGCTAAGAATTTGCACCAGATGGAACGACGTGCCCAAATGGTCATCAATACCTGCACTGCTCTTGGCGACCAGAACCCGATTGCTATGATACACGATGTTGGAGCTGGTGGCCTCTCCAATGCCCTGCCCGAGCGTATGTTCGAGCTCCCTGCCGCTCAGCGCTTACATTCTTGGTTCAATTTGGCCACTGACATATTCCACAGTTGTCAAAGACGCAGGATTTGGAGGCAACTTCGAATTACGCCAAGTCGAGAGCGCTGATCGAAGCATGAGTCCTCTGCAGATCTGGTGTAACGAGGCTCAGGAACGATATGTTCTGCTAATCAACCCGGAAAACATGAATCGCTTCGCTAGCATATGCTGCAGAGAACGCTGCGGATTCTCCGATGTTGGAGCTGTTGCCACGAGTGGTGCGAATGGTGGCGCCAACTTGATTCTTACAGACCGCGAATCCAAGGAATACCCTCGCCCTATTGACCTGCCAATGGACGCCTTATTCCCGCCGAAGCGTCAGCAGGAACGGACTGTCGACTCGAAGAAGCCCGTTTTGACACCCTTCGATGCCTATGCCAGCCTTCAAAAGGCATTCGGGTCTGAAGTGGACGATGCTACCTTGTTCAAAAAGGCTGTAGAGCGCGTCTTCCTCATGCCTGCAGTGGGCTCAAAGTCGTTCCTCATCACAATTGGCGACAGAACCGTCGGTGGCCTCACAGCTCGTGATCAGTTCGTCGGGCCCTGGCAGACTCCAGTGGCCGATGTTGCCGTGATAGCTACCTCATTCAGTCTCGGCGGAAAGCAAAGAACCGGCGAGGCCATGGCCATGGGTGAGAAACCGACGCTGGCTCTTATTAACCCCGGCGCCTCCGCCAGGATGGCTGTCGCAGAGAGCTTGATGAACATTGGTGCTGCAGATGTGATGGGAGACCTGCGCAGAGTCAAGCTGTCAGCCAACTGGATGGCAGCTGTCAATCATGCCGGCGAGGGTGCGGCCCTTTACGAGGCCGTAGAGGCCATTGGCATGGAAATGTGCCCCCAACTCAGCGTCAGCATTCCTGTCGGAAAGGATTCTACCTCGATGAAGGCTGTATGGAAGAAACAAAACGAAGTGAAGAGCGTAACGGCCCCGGTCACCGTTGCCATTTCGGCATTTGCTGTTGTAAAGGATATCTTGAACACGTGGACGCCTCAGCTCCGAAGAGTTGAAGAGGTTGGAAAGTCTATTCTATTGTTTGTTGATCTTGCCGAGGGTCGAAGGGCCATGGGAGGCTCAGCGTTGGCCCAGTCGCTCGGTGCTATCGGAAACGAAGCCCCCGACATGAAGAACTTCAACCTCATTACCGACTATTTTGATGCCTTGTCGCAACTTCACGAGAGTGGTGTTGTCCTCGCATACCACGATCGCTCTGACGGAGGTTTGGTCACAACTATTGCCGAGATGATGTTTGCTGGTCGCTGCGGCGTTGACGTCATGATGGATGGCATCGCAAAGAGCGGCTCGGCAGGCGACATGCTTGAAGCGTTGTTCAACGAGGAGCTTGGTGCTGTCTTCCAGGTTAAGGAGTCGGATGAGATGAATTTCAAGCGATGCTTCGCCACTTGCGGACCTCCTCCCAGGCTGATTCGCAAGTTTGGAGTTGTCAAGGCCAGCCATAACCAGTCCTTGACCATCCGCCACGGGGCGACCACCTTTACCAATCTTGACCGCGCTGAAATGCAGCAGTGGTGGTCCAAGACATCTCACCAGATGCAACGCCTTCGAGATAACCCCGTCTGCGCCGACTCCGAATATGCCACCATTTCCGATGCATCTGACCCTGGCATCTCTTATCACCTGACTTACTCACCATCCGACAACATACTCCCGCTGACATCCTCCATCACTGGGTTTTTCAACAAGACGCCTCGGGTTGCGGTTCTCCGCGAGCAGGGCGTGAATGGATATGCCGAACTGGCTTTCGCTTTCAAAGCCGCTGGATTTGAACCTATTGATGTTCACATGACTGATGTCCTCGGAGGGCGGTCTCTTGCCGACTTTACTGGTCTTGCTGCCCCTGGCGGATTCTCATATGGCGACGTTCTCGGTGCTGGCCAAGGCTGGGCCAGGTCCGTTTTGATGCATGAAAGCACACGCCGCGAGTTTGAGCATTTCTTCAGGCGCCCCGACACGTTTGCTCTCGGTGTTTGTAACGGCTGTCAGTTCCTGACTCGTATCCACGAGCTCATTCCTGGCACAGAACACTGGCCAACCTTTGTTCACAACGAGAGTGCTCAGTTCGAAGGTCGATACAGCATGGTGACAATTCAGGAAGACGAGAACAGGCCGTCCGTCTTCTTTCACGGCATGAACGGCTCGTCACTCCCCGTGGTTGTGTCCCATGGCGAAGGAAGAGCCAAATTCTCTTCACCGAATTCCCTGCAGGAGCTCACCGACTCGGGCATGGTCCCCATGCGCTATGTTGACAACAGGCTAGAGGTCACTGAGAAATACCCGTACAATCCCAACGGAAGCCCCGGCGGTGTTGCTGGAGTCTCCAGCAGGGACGGCCGTTTTGTTGCCATGATGCCTCACCCTGAACGAACCATCATTGCTGGCGTAAACAGCTACATCCCCCCCAGGGCCACAGACCAGTGGGGTGACTTTGGTCCCTGGATTCGAATTTTCAAGAGCGTGCGTAGATGGGTTGGTTAAGCGATCCAGGGACAAGAGAAGCGGGAGAGGAGAGTGAACAAGTTGAGCACAGCACGACGAAAAGGCGAAAACGCCAGAGTCCATTTGTCGATGCCGTTAGCGGTTTCCTTTGTTCTGCCGCGCAGCTAGCAATGGCAATATATAGACCCGGGCTCGAGCCATTGAGGATACAATCATGACCACATGACAAGCAGTGACGCGGGCGACCGGCTGATGCCGCATTGCCACGGCGCCGAGCGAGGCGCTGCCACCAAACTGTTTATCCAACAGACGTTGTGAAGTTTCAAGGCGCCCAAGTCACTGACTCGTCGGTGGACTCACGGCCACGCCCAGCCTCCCCCGAACACTCACTGACGAAGCACTTTGACTATTAGCAATAACAAGTGTATGATGAGGAAGATGATGGACCAGAATAAGCTATGTACCGATAAGAAGAAATATAGTAGTAAGCTATACAACTTGTTCCAAAGCAGATTTGCTTCATTCAAGAGTCAATACTACTTACTATATCAACCTCGTAAAATCCTCGTAAACGCTCTCCTAATATGCTTCAAGAGTAATATAATGGTTCACAAAGCGACGTATTCCTGACTTACTCGTCAACCACTCCCGGGCGATTCCGGCTATCCAGGCACCGACTATCGACCCGCGCAGCGAAGAAGACTGCGTCCATGGATGGAGGCAAGTACTTCGAGGCGGAGCAGGGCGAGGAGCTGCTTGCCCGTGAGAGGCCCACGACCGAGGCGCCGCCTCTGAGGCAGATACTTTGCCCCGAGGGAACTTGGCCTCGCTCGAGGCTTCTCCTCCCACGTGCAGAATCACGACGAAAGAGGGACCCTGGAGTTGGTTGTGATGCATGTTTTATTTGCTACCGTGAATCTGGGTATCTCGGGCACTTTCCAAGCGCAAGGCCCCGGCTGTCCCTGCGACCAGCTTGCTTGCCGCTCTGGTTACGTCTGTACATGTCCATCATTTTGCTCACTATTCAACGGAGGAGTGAAAAAAAAAAAAAAAAAGCCTACGAGGCTGGGCCGTCCCAAAATTCCCGCCGGAGCTTGACGAACCACGCTTGTTTGTGAGGAAACGCGACTTGCTTCTCCTTGGAGAACCCGGCTGCGTCCAGGTGTCGTAGCATCCTGTGACGAGTTGGCACTCTGTGAATATACGACGGGACGGGTGAAGAGGGAAGACACACCTTTTGTTATCGATCCTTGGCTCCAGACACACATTCATGGTCCTCGGATCGCCCATGAAGCAGTAATGCACCAAACTCGTGAGCCAGTTCCGAACCCTGCCCCTCGACCACTCCTCTCCAATCATGATGTGTAGTCCGCGGTCCCAGTCTCCCGCCTCACCAGCTACATGGCGACCGAGAATGTCCTCCTTGACCCAGTACAGCTCGAAGTATCCAAAGGGAACGCCGTCCCAGAGACCAATCACCGGGAAGGAGTGCTTGGCGCACAGTGCCGTCTCCAGGAAATCAGAGGTGTAGTTTCCCCAGAAGTCCTTGACCCTCTGGACTGCAAACCAGGACTGGAGGAGATCCCTGTCACTCATAAAGGACAAGTGAGTCTGCTCCGGGGGATTGGGCCCCACGGGTCCGAGATAGGGGACCGGCGAAGTCGAAACAGATGCCACGCGGAACGACAAGTACTGCCCTGCGCTTTCAACGAAGCGAGTGTAGAACACCTCTCCCATCCTCGGGGGTTTGGGCCGCAACGGGTGGCGCATGCCGTTCGTGTAGACATACTGCAGCGGCGGCGGCGGGAAGTAAGTCGGCAGATGAGACGAGGAAAAGTACGGCCCGATGGGCAAGGCGGGCGTGGCGGCAAAACTCGTGGGCATGGGCGATCCCGGAACATCGGCGACAAACTGCCCCCCGCCGGACGTCAGAGACAGAGACTGCGCCTGGGAATACATCTGACGCAGGTCCGAACGCCCCGTGTCACCAGCGCTCATCAGGGGGGAGCCGGGGCGGCTCATGGCGGCAGGAGACCCGGGAAGCTCGGCGCCCCGCGCCGGCTGGGGCGTGAACAGGAACAGGTTGGGCGGCATCTGCCAAAACATGCGCTTCGAGACAAACATGTTGGTCCAGCCGTCGCCGCTGTCGTCCATGCAGGTCCCCACGGCCGTGTCCTCGGAGGCAATCAACCCCATCCTCTCCAGCTTGGGGATCAAGTTCCGCCCCCGGAAGACGCCGTCCCTCCTGATGCGTATCTTCCACTCGCCCACTGGTTTCGCGCCGGGCGGCGTGTCCTCGGACGCAGACGTGTGCAGCTCCTTGTCCGGAGGCGGCTGGTGAAAGTACCAATACAGTGTGATCCAGAGCATCATTGCGATTTCCCTCGTAGGACTGGCGGCTGGTTTGACGTCGGCACTGGAAGGCATAGAGATGGACGATATGAAGAGCGTGTCGTTTTGCAGCGTAGGCCTGGTGAAGGGCTTCGTCCGCCTTTTGGCTCTGGGCGGGACGTTCTCGTCCTTGTCGCGTTCCCAGGCGGATTGTTTCTGCTGCTCGTTGTTGGCAAGATTGTTGTCGTTTCTGAAGACGTCATGCTCAAGCTTGTCTTCCTCCGTGTGCAGCGCCGTCATCCAACCCACGGGATACAGATGCAGCAGGCTGCTGGGATCATGGATGCTGAATCCCATGCCGCCAAAGACGGGCGTGACGGCGAACTTCTTGCCGTCCGGCAGATACAAGATCTGTGGCGTCATTGCGCAGGGAAACTGCCCACATGGGCCTCGGAAATGCACTTGGGTGAGATAAGTTGAAGCCAACAAGACTTGAGGCCAAGATTCAATTGCGATTGATAGCCGGGAGTCGGGAGTCGGAACTCGGGACTGAGGCGATGAAGGTGATGCGGGGCGATGATGACCTGATGAAGTCAAACAGGCGAGGTGGGGTCAACTCAATCCGAGGCAGGTCCAACCTTGAACTTGTGAACTTGGTCGAGCCCGACCGTCAGTCGAGTGTGATTTCGGCCCCGACGGCGGATCACAAGACAGTCTACTACCTCTGCTCATCATCTGGACAGGAAGCAAAGACGCGAAGAAGAAAAAAAAAAGCCACGCTTATTATAGCACCGTTGTGTCCTGTGATGCTCCGGCCGGGACGGGTCCCACGCGTCGCCCGCCGAATCATATCATGGACGTTTCTAATAAACATCAAGACTCGAATCGCATCTGGCAGAGTCCAGGATACCATGACGTCCTCGGGCATCGATTCCCCGTCAGGAGCGGGGCTTGCGTGGGCTGATCATGAATGCGTGCCCCCGAGTACCGACTTCGCAAACGTGAGGGGAAAAGTATAAACTAAATGCGCACCGTAGACGCGGCGGTGTCGTGCGGCCTGTGTCCATTCACATCCATCACGCCCAGAAAGGAAGTTGTATGCCAACTCATGTGCCAATCGCGTCTGCTATCTTGGGCCGCGAAAACGTCCCATTTCAGTCACCCGTGTGGTGTCGGGTCCCCTGGCGAATGCATCACAACTGGCATTATGGCACCAGGTGCCATCAAGTCCATGGTAGGGATACCGATCTGTCGGTGGTTCATGCCCGCACTCGCTCCTTCATGCCGCGCGAGGACTGATGCGAAGAAGCCTTCGATCGCTCTGACCCCTAGCTTTCACGCCCGGGGCCATGCCCTTGGCCGCCGTGGTCGCCGCCGTGGTCCTCATGGTCGTCGTCATCATCCTCCTCTTCCTGCTCCCGCTTCCTTTCCTTGCTACTCTTCCCCTCTTCCACTGCCTCCTTGACTTCCTCGCCCCCCAAGTCCCTCATCTCATCCCACTCAACGCCATACTCGGTAGCGGCAAACTTGATCTCTCTTCGGAGGCCGTTGGCATCATGCACCAGCTGGTCCCATTTCGCTGGATCGAAACCTCGTTCTTGATATAGAGCGTTTTGCCGTCTCGAGACGGTAACATTCATAGCTGCCTTGTAGCTCAAGTCCCGACTGATGAATAAGAACCACAGATACCCGCCCATGATACTGGCCAGTCCAGCGAGGTAGGTAATGGGCTCGACCAGGTCCCAGCCCATGTCGGTGTGAAATGTCACATAGTAAACGACTCCCCACCAGGTCGCCAAAGCTGCAAAACCACCCTTGGCGAGTGCGTGAGCACCCTTGTGCGCCAACAGATCGCACTCTCGCTTCACGCTTGCCATCTGGTCAATGTCCCGAGACATTCGCCGCAGTCTCATTCGCATGTAGTGAGTTCTGTCCTTGAAGCTCGGCACGGCGACTCGTAGCTCTTGGGAGTGTCCCTCGATAGTGACGGAAAACTCTCGACCACGAGCGGCGTCCCTGATGAAATCGCCGATCTCGGTGCTTCCGCTCCAACGGACCCAGCGAGTGTCACCTTTGCTTGGCCCCTCACGCCCGAGACCAGAGTAGGATGCAACATTGGACCCGTTGCTGTTGGGATTTTGTCCCGCACCACTCTTGTTGCCGCTTGTGTAGTCTGCCTCGGCCCGGAAGAGAATTTCAGGCAGCTTCTCGCCATCCTTTACCAGGAGAGGTGGGATTTCGGCCTGGATGAGCCTCTCCAGGTAGGAGAGTGGCTGCTGCGGGTGGATGAGAAGTGCCAGAGGCTCGACCGACCCCCTCTTCCGCTCCTTTGTTTTGGATTCGTCAGAATTGATGTATTCTTGTTCGGGGTGAAAAGGAATGGGGAGGATGAGCTTGAGCAGCCGAGTCGGAGTAGTCAGCAGACGACCTGCGACAAGTCAGCGCTTCATATAAGGGACACGGTGGATGAACCTTTACTTCCACAGTCTACGGACCTTTGGTTTCATCTCCTCCGGTAGGGTCTGGCGAGGTTGATTCGGGCAGCGATGCACTGCTCTCACGATGCCACGGCCGGTCATCGACATTTCTCTGTGTTGTGCCGCGTGCTTGCGTCTTGTATCGGGGACTGCTTTGACTTGTGTGCCTTTTGCTGGAAATTGAGAACCGAGGACCAGTAGATATGTCCATAGGCCACAGTGAAGCCCTCGAACAGTATACCTGCGGGCCGTTGAAGGTGACAGTGGCCGGCCGAGCGCCATTCCAAACGGCCAAGAGTGTGCCGCGCGTGAAGTGGCCCATGGCCGTGCACCTGCGGGCTCCGAGTATGATGGGAAGCAGCTCTATAGACTCGACTTGGAGGAAGGGGGAAAAACGAAGCAAGCCGGCGCAATGGTCGTTTCTTACCACGGCTCTGCGTGTGAGGTGGAATTCAGGGTCTGGACTCTGGTGACTCGGGTCGAGTGCCTGAAAGTCGAAGTGACGTCAGCGCACCTGCATTCACTCATCCCCCGCAAACCCCAGACATTTTTCATCTCGCTTTTTTTAAAAAAGAATTTGCACCGCTGGTAACTATGGCTCTTGAATTCTGGCGGTGGGGACCGCACACAGAATGGGGTGTGGGGACGCCTCGATTAAATTGGGCTAGTGTTGCCACTTGCGCATTCAAAAAATGACAGCTGTGCAACCTCCTGCCCGCACTGAGGTAGGTGCCTCGGCAATTTATTCTTAGACGGGTCTAGGCCCAGGAACAGGGCACCTGCCTACTCTAAGGAGGTGGGGCAATTGAGCCAGTGCCGGGGCACTTGAGTGGTGGTTCCTTGGGTAAGTACCTAGGTAACCAGTAGGTACGTACTCCGTACTTTTGATGGCATCAATCTCCATTACAACTCTGCGTTCAAGATCCGAGATCCGAGACGTCGCTCCATTTCATCTACACTGTGCAGACGGAGCACTTCATTCAAGTAATTACTCGCAAGAAGTCTGTGCTGGTATACGGTCAGCAATTTACAATTTTTCAACGTCTCCGGGCTCCAGATTCCAGAGCGCTGCACTTGTTCCCGCCACAGCTCAGAAGACGTCCAACAGTCGACCTTGAGCCTCTGCACAGGTTCTTAGCAGCATCCTGAAACAACCTAGGATTGATAGATGAGAGAATTCTTCCTAGCTAGCTTTCGTGGCAGAAAATATATCTATTTCAAACGGGAACAAGTGCCTACTACACCTACATGCTATCTTCGCTGCGGCCACCTAGCCACCCACGCGAGCATGGCCAAACATGGAGCAGCAGTCAAAATCGATCTTACAAGACTCTTACGCAAGTGTGTCGATCTTTTTCGATTGCAGTTCTGCAACACATGAGCCCAATCATTGACAGGCCTGGGCCCGCGGTTCGAATCGTCTGCTCGCTTTGCTTGAAGAATGCGTATACCACGGCGTGGGTCACAAGACCTTTGAGCTTGGGTTTTAGAGTTGAACGACGCAGACGCCAAAAAGCTACCTATTAGTCTTTGATGGTTGTTTTCTTCCTACTCTATGGGGCATCATCAACCAAAAACCACGGCGGCATATTGCATCTGACCCCAGCAAGAGCCGACAGTGCCCACGAATTTTGTACAGGTTCCTTCATGCAGTTGAGGCCTCTTGTTCGTGCATTTTGGCTACCTTCTATCACGGTTGAATGGCGCTCAGATGCGAACCGAGGATGCGTGTGTTGTGTCATGGTGCACATTGAAGACAAGAAGATTCAACGGGAGAGCGCACAAAGTCTCACGTTGCGCTGCAATAGTCGACCATGCTTCTACCGGGCCTTGTATTCTTTTCCTGCTAGACCGTATCTGCGTCTTTCAAACCTGATGCGGTCCTGTCTTCTGGACGTCCCTTCACACCGTCTACACGGAGTTCCCCAAAGCATGGCGCTGGATTCAATATACTTACACTAGCTCATGATAGTGCCGCGTTTATCGAGATAGTCTGATGCGATATGTTTCGGCGGCTGGAAGACTAAGAGCATATTCAGCGTTCCATACAGGAAGCCACAGTGTATAAAAACACATTTGGTTTTTCTCCCAAGGCTCTCCCGCTCCATTCATCCTTGCCTCCAGACCTCAAGTTGCCTTTGCACCCAGTCAATTCCATATCCCACTGCTGTCACACTGTAGAAACACCACTCACCATTCATGGCTATCTTTGACTTCCCCTGAGCCCCAACAACTCAACCATGGCTTCTGCCAATAGTGCAATCTCCTCTGACCCAAAACCTCAAGGGTCTAGATTTGCCGCATCAGCCTCTAAGGCGAGGACAGAGGCGAGGACAGCCGATGGGCGATTGAGCTTGGCCGCAGAACTCAGCATTGACCCCGAAGATATGGTGAATTATCGTGGGCGAGTCCGTTCATCAAAGCCATTGAACGTGGAGGCCCTGTTCGGTGGTAAAATTGATGTCGACAAAATCGCTGTGCATGTTGGAAGGCCAAGAGGTGCCCCTGCATCTGAAGCAGTAACGAAAGTGGCATCAATTTCATCAGCTTCATCAAGCAATGATGATGATCCCCCGAGACGACCAGCTCCCGTGCCCTCACTGCCTTTGGGCAAGTTTCCTTCCAGGAGAAACACTGCATCTTCCCTTCACTCTGAGCCGCAAGTATTGATACGAGACGAACATGACACCTTCCGTTACTATGCGCCAATCCCGCCTCCTGTGGGGCACTGGTTGCCGGAGCTGGTCAAATACCAAAACGAGACACATTCCCACATGATGGCTCGAATAGCGGGCGTCGATGTGTTGTATTCGCAACTCCATCTCATGTCGAACACGGAGCGCTATGAGTGGGAGAGGAGATTCATGGGATACTTCCGCTGGACGCCATGGAGCCGTCGCAGCGGCTTGAGTCTTGTCCAGTGGGTCAAGGACCGCGGATACGACTCGACCTGGACGCCCGAGGCCAAGGCCATGTTTGCAAAGGTCTCGCAGAGCGGTTTCCCTCACCCCAGGTACTACCCGAAAGTGATTACAGTTTTCGACGAATTCACTCGCCGGATGCAAGATATGCTCATCGGCGTCGGCATCTACAACCTTGCCTTTGCCAAAATCCGCCCCGACTACTACATCGTCGTGCCCATTGGCCACAGTCGCCTGGTGTACTGGGACGGCGACTTTTCCCCGCTGGAGCGCTCATTCATTGCCGTCTGGTATCCCTACTCGTTCATCAGTTTGACGGCGCTGCCTGGAGACAGCGACCGCGATACTTTCGAGCGCGAGCTGTTCCGTCTCGGTACCGTTCTCAAACGCCTCTACGTCGACAGGGTGCCGTGTTGGCGCGAAGCCTTTAACCGCTTGCAAGCGATGTGACGAGAATCATGGGTTGGGTTGTGGGAAGACTCCCAGCGGGTGGTGCATGAATCTGTATTTTGACATGATTAGAGATCATTCTAATAAAGCGCTTTGGAATTTGGGACACGGTCTCTCTTCTGCCCGAGGTCCCTGGAGAATGTCTCAGAAGTGGCTCACGGATTCGTAAATTTAGGACTCGGTTTCGTGTAAATTGTCCCGCATACCCCTGCAGGCGATTTGGTTAGTCTCATTGTTGGGCAAGTTCAGATTTGAAATTTACATGGTTTGCAGCACCTTTTGCAGCGTCTCGTGAATCTCATGTGACGACGATGGGTTTATGCATGGGTCGACGTTGCGATGTGTTGAGTGCGCTGTGGTTCAAAAGACGGAAAATCTTTTGATGCGTCTCCGATTTTCAAATGCCAAGCCCCTGAAACGGCCCCTTCGCGTGGTAGTACGTATGAGCAGTCAGTCGGCCAGTGGGTTGAATTGTTTCCTGGTTCGGCGGCCATTGGCCCTGGGGCCGCGCCGGCGAGCCGCGTCTGCAAGCCCCGCCCGCAACTGATCACTGATAACTGATAACTGACAAAGACGGACCAAATGCCGCCTTGGGAGTCAACCTGCTCCGACGCTCGCTCCCGAGTCCTTAGTCCTGACGACGTGCTTGCTACCCTGTTCCCGGGGTCGAGAGCAACCCCCCTCCCCCCAGAAGCTAGTTAATTGTACTGTCCGTCTTGTTCTTGTTGTGGTGAAGCTTCACCCGCTCCCTAGAACTAGCTAGCAAATGGCAATTGACTGCTGACAGCTGACAGACGGTGTCTCCCTCCCTCCGAACTGCCTCGGCCATGGCGGACAACAAGGTCTATCGCGCGAGCACTACCGCTCCGGTGAATATTGCTGTTGTCAAGTATTTGTCTCCTGTGCCAAGTTCTGCCTTGCAATTGGGCTGTGAACCTCTACTGATACCACCTCGACTAGATACTGGGGAAAGCGAGATACGAAGCTCAACCTCCCTACCAACAGTTCCATCTCCGTCACTCTCTCCCAGGCCGATCTCCGGACCCTGACAACGGCCTCCTGCTCCAGCTCCTACCCCGGGGGTGATAGCCTGGTGCTCAATGGCGAGCCCTCAGACGTCTCTGGACCGCGTACTCAAGCCTGCTTTCGCGAATTGAGAGCCCGTCGTGCCGCCCTCGAAGCTTCCAACGCCGCGCTTCCCAAGTTGTCAACCTTGGCCCTGAAGATTGTCTCTGAGAATAACTTCCCGACGGCTGCTGGTCTGGCGTCCTCCGCCGCCGGCTTCGCAGCTTTGGTCCAGGCCATTGCCAACCTGTACGAACTGCCAGACTCGCCGTCAGAGCTGTCTCTGGTCGCTAGACAGGGTTCTGGGTCAGCATGCCGCAGTCTCTTCGGCGGCTATGTTGCGTGGAGGATGGGTGACAAGGAGGACGGGAGCGACTCCGTGGCCGATCTGATCGCACCGGCATCACACTGGCCCAACATGCGTGCACTCGTCCTCGTTGTCAGCGCTGCCAAGAAGGGAGTTTCATCCACCTCTGGCATGCAACAAACCGTTGCCACATCCGGCCTGTTCCAGCAGCGAATCGCCCAAGTTGTGCCCGGCAATATGCGCATCATGGAGGAAGCCATCATGGCCAAGGACTTTGCCAAGTTTGCCGAGGTTACCATGCGCGACTCGAATTCGTTCCATGCCTGCTGTGCCGATACATATCCCCCCATCTTTTACATGAACGACGTCTCCCGAGCGGCCATCCGGGCCGTGGAGTCGATTAATTCCAAGGCTGGGAGGACGATTGCCGCCTACACCTTTGATGCCGGTCCAAACTGTGTCGTCTACTATCTCGAGGAAGATGGCTCCGCTGTGCTCGGGACGTTTGCAGGCGTCCTGAATGGTGTCTCTGGCTGGAAAGCAGATGGCGCGAGCGTCAGGGCTGGCGCAGAGCTGGAAGATGGCATTGCTAGCACGCTGAAGGACGGAGTGAGCAGGGTCATCATGACTGGCGTGGGTGAGGGTCCGTTGAAGACGGAGGAGTATTTGGTGGGTGAGGACGGTCAGACTGTGAAAAGGTAGATGGATGACATGTGAGATTCGGGACTGGACATGGATGGCATTGCGCCTCTAGAAACAAGCCGGTACAAATCGACCAAGTGCTTAAGTAACTCAGAGACATGCAAGCTCATTCCTGCCTCTGTTGGATCATTGGACGCCCCACGCGCCTCGCAGAAGCTTTGAAACATGAATGCTGAAACGAATTGTCGCCGGCATTATCCGTTGTGAACCACCAGCTGGCGCAGCTAGCGTCGGTGCGTCTGCCAGCTGTGAGCGACTGACTTATTTATTCTACGTTCTCGAGCATGATTTCACAACATCCATCATGTCGCAGACACACCAAACCAAGCCTTGACTTTTTCTTCATCACCGTCAAATGACGAGCTGTGGGACCGCGGCGCGAAATCTTGATTCCCTCATCAAGCGGCTACCACGACCCCAGCAAAAGTCGTCGGTCAAGCACCGCCAGGGCAACTTCACGCCACCCTCGGCCGTCTCACCATGGAGACGGGGCAAGGCGGCCGCCGCAGTGTCACGAATGGCCAGACACCCTCCCGTGTTGCAGATTTCATCGGGCAAGGGGACGACGTCGAGGTCTGCGAGCTCGACAAGTCAGGCAACACGCAGCGTCGATGGCTTCATCGCTCGGACAATACAGTCACGATCGTCAGTCCCATCCACTCACTCAATCACCACCTGCTCACGGAGCAACTACTGACAGCCCACGCGGGTAGCTGGAACGCAAAAGCAAACCAGACAGCATCCTCGACAGCTCCGTGCGAGAGTGGAAGAGATTTCTCTGCGACGCCTTTCTGCCCATTGGATTCCCTCACTCCGTGTCCAGCGACTACCTCGCCTACCAGACCTACGATTCCCTGCAGGCCTTCTTCTCGACGATCACGTCCCTGCTAGCCAATCGGGCCCTGCTCCAGGGCCTGGGGGTGGGAGACGCCGACTCGTCCGCCACGTTTGCCATGCTCATCACCATCCTCAAGGACGCCACGTCCCGCGTTGCCACGATCCTCTTCGCGCACCGCTTCGGCCTGCGCATCGAGCCCGACGCCAAGCGCTTCCGCTTCCTGGCGGACATCTTCAACGACACGGCCTTTTTCCTCGAGCTCTACAGCCCCTACCTCGGCGACTGCGGCAAGATACTGGCCCTCTCTGCCGGGGAGGCGCTCCGGGCCCTGTGCGGGGTGGCGGCCGGCGCGAGCAAGGCCGCGCTGAGCGTGCACTTTGCCAGACACGACAACCTGGCCGAGTTGAACGCCAAGGAGGCCAGCCAGGAGACGGCAGTGGGCCTGGTCGGACTGCTCGTTGGTACGCTCGTGGTCAAGGTTGTGCAGGATCACCAGAGCGTCGTCTACCTGATGGTTGCTCTCGTCCTTGCCCACCTCTGGATGAACTATCTCGGCGTGAGGAGCGTTTGTATGACGACGCTCAACCGCCAGCGAGCTACGATCCTGTTCCGCGAGTACATGAGCACGGGGCGCGTGCTTTCCCCGGAGGCTGTGGCGGCGCGCGAGAGCATTGTCCTGTGGCGCCCTGTGGTGGGCAGCCGGCGCGCCGAAGGGGTCTGCAAGGTCGAGTTTGCCGAGAGCTACCATGCGGCTGCTGCTGCGGGCAGGGCAGGCGGCCGGGTGAGGGTGGTAGATGGGGAAATGTACACCCTGTTCATAACGGAGCCTCGCGAAGGCCGCGTCAGGGTCATCAGAGTGCTGCTCTGGTTCGGGTGCGAGCCTCGGCACGCCGTGTTGGCGTGGTTCAGAGCCATGGAGACGGCTTGGTGGATGGACCCGGAGGGCGAGGGCGAGGGCGAGGGCGATGGCGACCACCGCGTCGAGGCCTCGGCGCTGCGCGAGCAGAGGCACGCGGGTGACGAGGAGCTGTGGAAGTCACTGGGCCGATTGGGCTGGGATCTGGAGGCGCAGGCATTTGAGACGAGCGCGCCGATTCGACTGCGTGTACGGCGTGTCCAGACGGCTGCCCGCAAAGACCGGTAGCTGCGCACAGCTGTGCTTTGCTCAAACCACGTGCACCAACTTGCAGTTTGCTCGCCGAGACGCGCAAGAGAGACGTCGCTATGAGGACAAACAACGGAGAGGGAGTATTTCTCCCGAAGATTGGGGCGTGGTATGTTGTACACGAGCACAAAGCTCGTACATGGTGTTGCCCAACGCCAAATGGTATCATGCAGGTCCTTGTGAATTTTACGTACAAGAAAAAAAAAATTAAAAAACCAAGTAATAAAAGTCGGCCGTTCCTCGCACGGCGTCATGCCAAACCCGTCCACCGCATGGCCCGCATCTTGACCCCCTCCCAGGTATTCAGCTTGGGCCGCACGTCGAGATAGAAGCTCGGCCCGGCCTTGTCGCCGCCCGGCCGCCCGGCATAAAAGTCAATCACGTACTCGACGCTGGTGCCGCACCGGTCAATGACCCAGTCGTGACGGTCAAAGGGGGCGGTATAGCCGAGGATGGTGTTGAGACGGGCCGTCGGGGTCAAGCGGTCGCTTTTGTTGGCGAAGGACGCGAGCTTGGGCCCGCCGCAACTAACATGATGCCGCCGTTAGTCAGTGACTGATGGGCTGCTGCGACGAGCGCCGCGGCTTGGAGAGTCTGGAAAACCTACCCTGACCTCGACAGGTACGGGGCCTCCCACTCCTTGATCTGCTGCCAGGCGCGTTCGTTGACGGCATTGTGAATGGGCACCACGGTCTTCATGTCTGCCGCTCTCGCATCGTAGCCCTTGCGCCTCATGGCGTCGAAGAACATCTTCTCGGAGGGATAGACCCAGTTTCCCGAGGCGTCGACGCCGGACTCGGTCTCTGCGTTGGCCGCGTTGGCGGACGCGCCGTGCTCCACGGGACATGCTTCCGGCCCGGGGGCCGATCGGGGAATGGTCGAGACGGCGCGGTCAGTGTGAAGCTCGCGGCGAGGTTTGGCGTCGGGGGCGGCCGGCGCGGTTGAAGGCGACGGCCAGCGGATGTAGGAAGCTATTGTTTGCATCCATGATTTCGATTGCGTCTGCGGCGTGCGGTCCGCGGGACAATGGGCGGAGGCTTGCGATTTGGCGGCTTCGGCTGCGCGGGCTTGAGAGAGCCATGCGTCGCGGGTTTTGTGGTCGACAGGACATGCGTCTTCTCTGTTTGTGGAAGACATTGTGGGATGGATACCTGATCAAGGGAGGCTGCGTCTGGAGAGACGTCAATGGTGCGCCTATTGAGGCTCATGGGCTGGCTTCTGCGGTGAAGCCATCGCGAGCCCCTTGGAGGGGAGTCGGGGCCGCAGACTTGTGGACTCGGCTTATTGGAGAGCAGCCGCCGTTTTACCGGCGCATGCGCGGGGCCACCCTCCCGAGACAGGGACCAATCAAATAGGCAACTAACTACTCCGTACTCGGTGCTCCGTAACGTACTTGGTAGCAGAGCACCTTTTGGCTCGAGTCAAAAAACTCACCCCATCATATGCCACATCGATCATCGTTGCCGACTAAAAGAAGGCGCTCTACTGTCGAGCAATTACGCCCAGTCATGAGATGATTGCAGAACGTTCCCTTCTGCTGCTGCAATTGCCGGCATAACAACCGGCAGCAGCTCTGCCCGTACGCCCAACGCTAACCCCAACCCTAACTAGTGTTTATGTTAGACAAGAAAAATGGGGCCACGAGTTCCGATATCGAGTCATTCCATCCTCACGTCGCGTCGTCCCTTGCCAGTCAATCACAACTCGTTGCTCGCCATCTTGGGACAACAACCCAGGGAGGGCCATGCCTGAATGCCCGCCAGAATGACGGGCCGTAACACGCCATTGTATTCGTCGGTTCTGCTACCTCTTCCAGGGAATCCAGGCTCGTCATGGGCATCGTATCGGTCCAGAATGGCGAGTCTGCTCCGACACCACGACACCAAGGTCCTGGTGGCGTTTTGGCTACTCGGTGCGCTGCGACTGATCTCTCGACACGCATTTCTTCCTAGGCTTGGTCATGGCTGCGGCTAACATTGTTTCCCATGCAACAGGCCTGATAAATAACGTCCTGTACGTCATCATTCTTTCGGCCGCCCAAGATCTCGTCGGCTCCTCGATTCCAAAAGGCGTCGTTCTCCTCGCAGATGTCATGCCGTCCTTTTTCACCAAGCTCACGGCGCCGTACTTTATTCACCATGTACCGTACCGAGTGAGAGTCCTTGTGTTCATCGCCTTGTCAGCCGTCGGTATGCTCATGGTTGCGTTGACGCCGCCGTCGGGTTCCGTGTCAATCAAGATGCTTGGGGTGGTGATGGCGAGCCTAAGCAGTGGAGGAGGCGAGCTCAGCTTCTTGGGGCTATCGCACTACTACGGACAAATAAGCCTGGTAGGATGGGGGTCGGGAACTGGTGCAGCGGGCTTGGTAGGAGCCGGCCTGTACGTTGCCTTGACTGAATGGTGGGGATTCAGCGTAAGAGACAGCTTGCTGTTCTCGGCATGTTTGCCTGCCGTCATGTTTGTCAGCTTCTTCTTCGTTTTACCGCTGCATCCATTGCGAAGCTCCTTGCAGCAGAGACAGAAGGACTATGAGACGCCGCCGGAACAGCATCTTGCGGAAGAGGATGAAGAGGATATGCCTCAGGGAGCAGCTTCTTCTGCGTTGCTGGCCCCGGGTGCGTCCGACGTTGATGCAGCGTGCTCGTCGACGCACCTGCAGGGGCGGCCAAGCTCGTTCAAAAACAATTTGAGCCGCGCCAGGTCCCTATTCATGCCATACATGGCACCTCTCTTACTGGTTTATATTGCGGAATACATTATCAACCAAGGGGTCTCGCCGACCCTGCTGTTCCCCGTCGAATCATCTCCTTTGGAAGAATTTCGCGGCTTCTACCCCGTGTACGGATTTTTGTATCAACTCGGCGTCTTTGTATCCCGATCATCCACTCCGTTTATCCGCATCCACAGGCTCTATGTCCCTTCCGTCCTGCAAGTCGGCAACATGGTGCTTCTGACTCTGCAGAGCTTGTTCTTCTTCATCCCTTCGGTGTACATTGTCTTTGTCATTATATTCTGGGAAGGCCTGTTGGGAGGCGCAGTATACGTGAATTGTTTCGCCGAGATTATGGAGAAGGTCCCGGAAGAAGAGCGGGAGTTTAGTCTAAGCGCCACCACTGTAAGTGACAGTGGAGGCATATGTGTTGCGGCATTTGCAAGTATTCTGCTGGAGCCGAGGCTTTGTGCATATCAGGTGGCGCATGGGAGGGATTGGTGTCGGCGGATTGAAGCCCAACAAGGCTGATTGGGTAGAGAAATCCCGATGGTATGTCATTTGGCAAATGTCCTTTTTTATATTTTTTTTTAGAATTATTTCAAATGATACATGCCCAGTACATGTGGTGACCAGTACTTGATCCATGTTATTGTCATGTATGGATCGTGCCACGCCGGCTCCATCCTCGACAATGTCTTTCAGCAACGATTTACCATGCACTACAGCACGACATCTTCTCACTGTTCATGAGGCATTTGTCGAGTCCCATCATGATTCAAAGAACTCTCTCAGAGGCTTGTTCATTTCGACATGTAAACCTACTTCTTTGCCAGCAGTGCTGTCATATCGTCCAAGGCAAACGCTGATTCGTTCTTATTATTGTGGGGTACGAAGCTGAGATCCCGTCTTGTCTTCACCTCACGAGTCACGAACCGCAGCCCCAACCTCGCCTTGTCATGATTTGATTCTTTGGCGACACCTTTGAGCATGATGCAAAATCATGGGCAAAATAGCCTTTGCCACGCCCCTTCCGCAGTCTACACGCTCCGAAGTGCTGGAATGGAAATTTCCAAAGCCACACGACCACCTCGTTCTGACGGGCCGATCCCGCGCTGCGTGGCACACATCCTTCATCATCCCCCAGCTCAACCTCCTCCTCGACGCAGGTCTCTGCGTAAACAAGCAGAGACCAAAGCACATCTTCCTCACCCACGGGCATGCAGACCACACGCTCCTGGCGTTTGCCTTTGTGACAAAGGAAGACCCGCCAGACATATACTGCCCCGCCGAGATGAAGCACATCTTTGACAGCCACATCCTCAGCACAACAATGATGAACCTGGGGGGCCTCGTCGGCACGAGCGACGCAGAGCAGCAAGGATTTGCAGTGGACGAAGCGAACGGAGGAGCACACGCCGACGGGCGAACGCCTCAGGAGCGAGCGCTCCTAAACACCCACGTCACCCGCGGCGTCAAGCACGGAGACACGGTGCCCCTCAGACGGCACAAGGGCATAACAGCATCGGTGTTCAACTGCGACCACACCGTCCCCTGCGTAGGGTACGTCTTCTCGTCCTCCACGGCCCGCTTGAAACGGGAGTACAGACTGCTCCCCGGCCCTCAGCTCAAGCATCTGCGACAGTCTGGCGTGGAAATCACAGAGCCTCACTCGGCGACCATGTTTGCGTTTCTGGGCGACACCACAATCGCCACGCTGGCCGCCGCGCCGGCCTGGCTGAGAGACGGCATCCCGGTTGTCATTACCGAGTGCAGCTTCTTGTACGAGGACCATGCGGCGCAGGCGGACAAGACCAAGCACACAAAGTGGAGCGATTTGGCGCCCGTCATACGCAGGTGGCCTCGGACCACCTTTGTCTTGACGCATTTCAGCATGAGGTACTCGGACAGACAGGTCTGTCGGTTCTTCATGGACCTGGAGGACGCGCCGCCGAACATGGTCATTTGGGCAGACCCAGAGGAGTAGCGCTGCGCGTGTTTCGACGGACCGGAACCCCGGGGGAGGTCTCAAGGTGACGGCGAACGTGGTGCTTCGTTGAGACGATCCGGGCGGAATGTCGGAATCGACAGCCGCGAGTCGGCCGCCTGTCTTGTCGCGTGCGTCGCAGCCGCGTGGGTGCACCGACCGACTCTCGGCGAGAGTTGCCGCAGTCAACGTCAGCACGAACGCTGACTTTTTGTCCTCGACGGCAATGACTCCGGGCCGGATCTCGACACAGCTGGGCTCTCGTTTCAAAGGGTCCGAAAGGGCCAGCTTCGACTTGTACATGTCTCTGCATCAGCACCTCGCATCTCACAGGCACGGACTGGCTTGACCGTATACATTGATGTCCAGGCTACGCATTATGCATGGCGAACAGACCAAGCGTCCCGGGTTGGCGATGAGATTCTTCTCCGCATGCAGCGCAGGCAGATGATAGACCTGCGCCGTGGTTTGGGAATAAGAATACATGTACACGGATAGATGGCAAGGCCTGAGAACAAGACACCTGCCCAGGCACCTACGCAGGCGCCCACTTGGCACCTCAACATCCACACAGGATTCACCGCCGTCAATGAGCTTTTCATTTTTGAAATTAGCTACTGCCGCCAGACCACGAGCACACGGCTCGTGGGTGTATGGAACATGTACATGTTTCATGTACACGAGGGTATCATGCACGTCATGTGCCCGGAACCAAGTGGTGTTGGTTTTCAACGCACCTCCCTCGTGCGAACCAACCCCCTTTTCCCTACCCCCAATCCATGCTTTGTAGACCTTTTTACATGGCCATGAAAAAGAATAGGCCAAACTGCGCCCGAAGACGTAGACAACCCTAGGTATGAAGATACACGGGAGAAAAACTAGGGAGGATGACCAAAGAGCTCAACTCGTGTCGTACAGCGTTCAATCACCATTTTTTTTCTTCAAAGACGAGCGTGTCACTGTCAGACAGATTTACCCTCGAGTGCTTTGGACGGGCCAAGGCGGAGCAAGTCTTCCTGTCCAATGTAGAAAGAAGGCTTCTCCTCCAGATACTGCTCGTGGAAGAGCCTTAGGTAAGGACCAGGCATTTGCATGCCAATGTCGATCTTGATTTGATCATCTTTTCCGGTCCACAGATGGCGGATAAAAACACCGCTACACCCAGAGCCAGTCTGGGGAAAGCCATTGGCCTCGTTGCAGGGCAGCTCCCGAATATGTTCCGTGTAGTTGTAGCGGACGAATGTACCGAAACCGCCCTGGTCCGTCGGGCGGCCAGGATGATTCAGGCGGAACTCCTGGCATCCGGGATACGGGCCGTCATCGTCGGGGCACCTATTCCACGCGTCCATGATCTTGTACGTCGTGGGATTGTTCTGCGAAACGATGAAGCCGGTGTTGAGGTACAGCTTGCCGAAGCGGTCCTTGTTCCAGTCGGTATCAGGATCGACGGCAAGGGCCATGGAGTTGGTGTCGGGATAAAGCTTCCAGTAATTCATGAGCCACTCGAACGGGAGGTCCAAGTAGTGAAAGATTGCGTCGGAGTCGAGGTAGATGCACGCGTCGTGCTCCTTGAGGATTTTCGAAATGACGGCCGGCTTCTTCCAGGACGCCCGGCGATCGCCAGGGTCGACCGTGTTGATGTAGTAGTACTTGTATCCGTGAATGCGAGCTGTCGCACGTCAGTAGGGGCGAGGAACCTTGGCCCCTTGGCCGGCGGGAGGGAGCGGGAGGGAGCAGGCACAAACGCACCGTAGACGTAATGATTCAGGATGCCGAGCGACAGACCGTGCACGCCCCTGGGACTGTCCCAGTCCATGACCTCGGGGCCAAACACTTGTCCAGACTCGTTGAATGGGCGGTTGTCGAGGTCAATGATGCAGAGGTTCCTGCCCATGGGCTGCTGCCAGTGCGGCGCCTCGGGCAGTTTCCACTCAAAGGCATGGTACGGCCTGAAGGACGGCTGATTGGGCTTGATGGCGGGTCTGTACATGTTTTTGAGGAAGAAATTCCGGAGCGCATCAGCGCCGAAAGCCGCCGCATCTGGTGTCTTGGGGTATGCCGGAGTCGTCTCCACGGCCGCAGTCCTCGTGTCGCCGGTGGTTGCTCTGACCGGTTGAGAGTAATGGGTGATGGGCCTGTCGAGGCGGCGACGCCGCACGGGTCAGCACGGCTTCACGACGGCGAGTCCATTGGTGCCGAGATCAGGAGGCCAAGGGGGCGTGTTACCTGACATGAAGATTCCAGCCGTCGAGGTGGTTAGAGACTAGGCCGACAAAGGCGGCGACGAAGAAGACGGACCCGACAAGGATGGCCGTCCCTTTGGTCGAGCGCACAGAGTTGTTTAGCATGCCGGGCAAGACGATTCCGTACCATTCGAACGATGGTGCGCGGTCAAACGAGGCTCGTCGAGGCACATGGGCTCGATGCGGCTCGTGAGGTTTGCTCCGTGGGGAAGTGCGGGAGCGGATCGATCTGTGACAGCGGCGGCGCGTAGAGTGAGCGAGCGCCAGGCGAGTCGCGACCAGTGTGGCGGGCAAGGTCAACAATCTGGCAAGCGGACAGGTTGAGATGTCGAATATAGAGGAACGCGTGGCCCGGCTGTGGTTTGCGACGAGGTCGACTGGAACCAGGTGGCGAAGAGGGGATACACAAATGCGCCGGTTTCTGCCTTCCGCATGCCCCAAACGAGCAGACCAGGGAAACGACAATAATTTTTAAAAAAAAACGAACACGGACAAGACAAGAATAGGAAACGGGGGCGGGCAAGGCGGCACAAAAGCCAAAATGCAAAGGGGAAGATTGAGTTTGGGCGACCTGGGGGGGGGCAACCCCGGGGCAACGTCAGGAGAGGGAAGCTCCGGAGAAGGCCAGGCTCAGGGGAGGGCGGCGGGGAGGCTTGATTGAGGCTTGAGGCGGGAGGCACGAGGCGTGAGGCTCGACTACGGACTACGGACCGACGGTCGATGCCGTCGGTGTCGGTCCAGAGACGAGCGCTAGCGCTGCTTGATCTTCAATGGCCCCATCATCATCATCAATCCCATCTTTCGACGACCCGACAGGTGGGGCTGAATGACGCGGCGTCGAAGCACGAGGAACACGAGGCGAGCGAGGGCGCGACAAAGCGCCGGGGGAATTCCTTTGCATTTTCCTCCCAGCAGTCACGATGCCGAATAACTAACTGCCTGCTGGGTGCTCCGACGTGTTGGAGCAGACCAGGGAACGACGCGTAAGCTTCTTGCTTGCGATGCGGGGATAAGCGCGAAGCCGACAGAGTGCGGGCTCCGGAGCGTGGAGTGCGAAACATGGAGCCGTGCGGCCTGCTCCTGCCTCGCTTGTTCCCCGCCAGCCGCCAGCCGCCAGCCCCAGCCGCAGGGGCCCCGTCCAAATTGTCACACGAATAGCAGTAGCACCAAGCTAGATATCACTCATCACTCAGATAATAGTTAAAAGCCTTAAATTAATCTACAAAAGAGAGAATTATATGCGCTCTTTAAATAAGTGCGCCTAGCTCTATGCTTTAAGTGTGTATTAACTTAATTCTATGTATATATATATCTATTAGCTCTAGGTAGATATACTAAAGTGCGTAGGCATACTATTGCTATATAATATACTCTCTAATTAAAGCTATATTTAAAGCTATTATAAGCCTTAGACTCTATAAGTATATACTTAATAAAGTGTTTAATTAAAGCTTTTATATACTTACTAATACCTTTAATTTACTTTAATTCTATTATTTTATATAGTATAGCTATACTATTATTTAGGTAAATTAAAAGTAAGCGCTATATACTTATTAGCTAGCTGCTCTTTATATTTATATATACTTTCTAAGAGTATTATAAGCTCTCTTTTTTCTTCCTTTTATAACTACCTTTATATAATTATAAGCTTATATTTTAATTATTACTATTATTATTATTATTATTATTATGCCTCTTAAATTAAGTAGAATTATTTATACTAAGTGCTAGTAGTAAATACTAGCAAATTTAAATATATTTATATCTACTATATTTAAGGAGCAGCTTAGTAGTACTACTTTTACTCTTAATAGCAAGAAGGTACTAGTAATACCTTCTCTCTTTAAGTATTATTATCTCTTAAGGCTTGCTAAGCCTATAAAAGTGTAAAGAGTAAGTTATACTTAGAAGTATTACTTTATAAGTTCTATATACTAACTATTAGACTAGATCTCTAGAGCTAGATATACTATATAATATACTCTATAAGGGCTGTATTTATATAGCTATTATAAGTAAAGGCAATAAAGGTTGCTGCTTTAAGGTAACTTCTACTTGCTTTAAATAATACTACTTATATAAAGTAGGTAATTATACTTACTAGCCTTAGTAAGCTTAAATTTTGCTTCTCTAATTAGCTAATTACTAATTATATATATAGTTATACTATATTAGTCTTTATTACTAAGTAGATACTATTAGCACTAGGTATAAATAGTAAGGTAAGCTTTTAATACTTTATTACCTTTAATTCTACGCTTAATTTTAATACTTTAAGCTATAAATATATAATAAGTACTATTAAGTACTTTAATTATAGCTTAACCTTCTTATAAAGTCTAACTCTATATATAAAGAGTTTATACTTAATATTAAAGCTAATAATACTACTAGAGGCTTATTAGCAGCTAAAGGAAAGAAAGCTTATATAAAAGCTTTACTTAACTAAGTTATAGACTTAGTTATTAAGAAGTAAGCTTTACTTTTATTATTTTATTATATATATATTTTAATATAAGTAGTAGCTTGCTTTTTGCCTATAAGTATTTTTAGCATTTAGTATTTTAGTATTACTTTATATAATTTTATTTACCTTCTAAGCGCACTTTACTTAGAAGAAGTAAGCGCTTATATATTTAAAAAGCAATTAATTTAATACTCTCTCTTTAGCTATACTTTTATTTATATAATTATAATATTATAAAAGTTAGCTTTAGCTGCTTAAATTAACTAAATTAAGTAGGCCTTTAAAGTATTTAAAATACTGCTTATTTAACGCCTTATAATTTATTAGTATGCATCTTAGCTATAGGTAAATATATAACTTTAAAGCTTTCTTT